AGGTGGATTGCCGACTTTCCTCGCCACTTTCTCAGCCAACTCCTTTTTCTTCATCAAACCCTCCGGTAAGCCCTGGATGCGTACCCAAACTGGGATCTTATTCAGTTTGTAATCCTTGACATTGGTGAATCCATCATACTCCTCCAAGACCACCAGGGCGCCATGGAAGAGCCAAGGACCTCCCTCCATAATTCTATTCCAGTCGCCTAAACACTGAGCTTGCACCAAGAACATGTTTTCACCCAACGCCTTGAAAGTCACTTCTTTTGCTGCTGCCCATGCAATACGCATGGCAGTGAAGAGAGTGGCATGGCTAAAGGGTTTTGTAGTATGAACCCTAAATAGCGCAAGCCAGCGAACCTCTTTGATCAGCCCATCCAACTCATCCGAGAAATCGAGATCATCCCCCTCCTCTCCTGCTAGCGTAAGCCTCTTCAGTCGATCTTCAATACTCATCTCCAGGTTCATATTATCATCCGCCATCTCCTTCTCATTCAGTCCTTCCTAGGCGCTCCCCATGAAGGACGATCCAGAGTAGTAGCCCGCAGGAACACGTAGCCCTCACTGAGGCGTCAAGAACGTGATGTTCCCAACGTAAGTCTAGTAAGTTTTGGTGGATAAAGTGGACTCTCGCCGAAGGCGTGTCGCCGCCGCCGCCAAGAGGATACGAAAACCCTAGGGGTATGGTCCAAACTTATTTCAGCCTCTGTCCTGTTGCTTGTTGGTTGGACTCCTGAGTTGCCCCCCTCGCGTGTGTAGGACCCGACTGTACCTCTGTGCTCCGTTGGGATGGGAGATCTCTTTTGTATGGAGCCCGGTGACGCTGAGGTTCTTGAACGAGGCAATTTCCTGGGCAGCCAGCCAACTAAAATTTGAGCAGCTGGTATCCACGTTCCCTAATGGTAGTGATTATAGTGGCTTAATAGAGCACAACTTAATCAGTACTCATCATTTGAAAAAAATAATGTCACCATTAGTCTTTATTATAAATTATAAAGGTAGGACTTTATTATTATATAAACATGCAACTTTAGCTTGAGAAATATAATTAAGTTCTTAATTTTTATTAAACTACTTTGACCTAATCGAGAAAATTATTATTATTATAAATCATCTAATTTTGTAATCAAACTATTTAAGCATTTGTTAATCTCACATATAGATATTTTAAAGCACATACACATTAGTATTCTCAGGCCTTCGATCAAATAATATTCCTTAGATTTACCTGGCTAGATCAAAAATTATTAACTTTTCAGGTAAGTAATATTTTCTCATTGGCAATTTGCAGGAGACACATGCCTCCAACCAAAACCCTTTTATTACTACACAACATTTGAAAAGAAAATGACGAGGATGTAAGTGGATGTGACATAAAGTAAAAGATATGAGAGCATGGGACATCAAGTTTTTTCTTTTGAAACTGGGACATCAAGTGTTTAATGAGAGAGAAATGCGAGAAGTTGAGACTGGACATAAAGTGCATGATTGATTGGCCGAATACCGTCTGACCTGGTTCATAGGATGAGGTCGTTGGATGTTTGGATGTCTGGCTGTGGAGAACTGGAGATGCAAAACCCGTCGCCTACCTGGCCTAACGGAAACAAAATTGAAATCCGTTTCCTCCGCGTCTAGCCGGTACGGTGCGCGAGCGTGTAGAGGGGCGAAGAGGTGTTGAGCGCAGTTGAGCAGTAGGGGATGAAAGCGGCGCTGAGCGGATATCACTGATATTATATTTGCAACCGGATCAACCATGCCGGATAGGATACAATTGGATATCGACATCATAAATATGCGATTTAAGGAGGATACGGATATCGGATGTTGAATAAGAAGCGAACGGAGTTTCGCCCTCTAAACGGATTCGGTCTCGAATACGGTCGAAAAATATCCGTACCATTTTCATCCCTATTGAGCAGGCAACCAATCAATAGAAACGATAGTAAAACAAAGGGAGGATGCATGTAAGAAGCTCGGCCCCTGGGTGCTTGCAAATAGTTCATACATCCACACTAAGAGTCCAACATAGTCGTAACGGTATAAAGTTTAAATTCAGGGGCTAAAGTTTAGGATGTCACATTAAGTGTCATAGGTGGGTGTTATATGGGAATGTTCGGATAGTAATAATAAAACAAATTATACAAGTCCTCAGTAATCCACGAGACGAATTTATTAAGCCTAATCAATCTGTCATTAGCACATGTGTTAATGTAGCACCACATTGTCAAATCATGAACTAATTAGGATTAAAAAATTCGTCTCGCAAAGTAATCGTAATCTATGCAATTAGTTATCTTTTTAGTCTATATTTAATACTCCATACATGTGTCCAAACATTCGATGGGATATGGACTAAACTTTAGAGAGAGAAACTAAACAAAGCCTAAGTCACGGCCCTGACCTCCAAGAGCATTGGTGCCTTGAGTGTAAGGACTAGGCGGCCAGCGTCATCTCCGTGCTGGAGGCTGCGAAGGAGCTTCCTAGAGCTGAGACGATCCAATCTCGTCGTAATCTCCGCTCCTCCTCGTCCTCGCCGCCCTAGCCCTGAAAAGTATTCCTTGTCGTGCGGGACGAGCTCTGTCATCTGGAACTTGTACCTCCGTACAAAGAAGCACCCAGGCCTAAAGTGGTGTCTAAGAGTCGTGTCGAAGGCCTGAGAACGTCCATCGCCGCGCTAGTCCTGCAACCACAACGACCAACCACTTGGCGTTGCCGACATGCTAGCCTCTGTCGTTCAACTTTTTGTTAGTAACCAAGGTACAAAGAGGGTCACATACTAATATTGTGTGTTGTCGTCACAACTTACTCTTAGAAAGTTGAGTGTCCTATCGTCAACACCGGTCCTTGAGAAACGTTCGATGTCAAGCACGGACTGCTTCAGGGTGTTGCCCTGCAAACAACGAGAAGAAGTGTTAGATCGGTATATGTGGAGCTATTATGGTCATTATGGTTTGTGATTTAAAAAAAGTATTGAGAGGTCACATTACCACTCGGTCTAAGATCGGTGCAAACTCCATCTGCATCCCTTGGCGCATCGTGAGGTCGTACGACATGTCTTCATCATCCGAAGACTCAATGTCAGCGTAGTCCGCTTGGGTCCATTGGACCTTCAACCTGCTCCGTGTCACACCTACATACCAAGATAGGTAGGCTCGGAAGTTGTAGTTGGTGTGCGGCTGGTCATTTTCATACAAGTTCTCATGGAGGTCCCACTGATCTATGTAGTCGCGGTGCAGGGTCTCGAAGTCAGTCACCTTCTTTTACTTCTGATGATCAATCCTGAATATGACAAATACAGTTGCATGAATGTAAAAATATAGTTGAATGAATGTGACAAATACTGTTGCATGAAACAATTGCATGAACTCATCAAAGTTAGCATGAATAAAGTTGCATCCTGAATGTGACAAATACAGTTGCATGAATAAAGTTAGCAGAGCTCATGAAACGAACAAGTAATACATGGCAGGAATATATCTTGTAAACATGTAGTAAACTAACAGCACAACAAAAACCCATCTAATGAACGGGTGCCGGACACTTACTCGTGCAACTCAACCGACGTCAAGAACGGCTCGACTGGCCACTTCTGCCTCAACCCGAACTGTCGTGCAACTATGTGTGGCTGGTGGTACTCAACAACATAGAAGCAGATTAGCGGGCACCTCATCCTGTAGAGGTCTTCGTCCACGCTGCACATGGTGCTCAACCCAAGCTGCTGCACCTCTAGCTCATTGTACAGCTCCCACATCACATGGCGCGTCTAGGGTCTTGTAGGCAGGGTGTGTTCGTCCTCATCCAGGCTCCCGAGTCCCGCCCGCGTGGAGAGAGAAGAGGATCAAGGGGAAGGAGTGGCAGGCGTAACCAGGGTGCATGTGCGGGGCGGGGTAGACAAGGGATGGACGTGCGCATGCAGCAGCGATACAGCATAGCAGCAAGCGCGGGCCATGACAACAACATACACAGGGCGTTCGGACACGCTCATCTGCTCCGAACGTCCGGGCGCTAGTAAATGCCGAGACGAAACAGAGGGGGTAGCTTCAATCGCACACCACGGTGCTCGAGTCTGATGTGGTGGTATTTCCTTTATATTTTTTTTTTTTTTGGGAATGGCTATTTATCTGTTAATAGATTTTTTTGAAAAACCTATCGGATTCTTAACCATTTGATGCAAGATCTACTGTCTAGATCTTCTTGTGTCATCAAGTCCAAAACGAGTTACTTGCAATGCCTGGAAGAAAATGATTGGATGTAACATTGAGGCCCAGTCACAGTTCACAAGAATACATCCTTTCAATCCCTCGTGCTCATCGTCCTCGGAAGGTCTCGAGCCATTTTTCTCCTTTCATTCATCTAATCATCTTCAGAGCCAGAACATTATTTAGATAGTAGTTTTCCAGGGAATCCAGAAATCTTGTGTGTGCGCACACAACAAATTTCCGCTTGAGTAGCCGCTCTGACTTACCGGATACAAATATACAGATACCTAAGAACGGGCAGATGATTAGCGCTACACTGACATTTTCGAGTTATAAGATAGCATGTTTAGCTGATTACACATGAACGGGCAGATGATTACACACACGAGAAATCCAAGCAGGCAAGCACTAACTATTTATACCTAAACAAATATACAGACACCTCAGAACAGCAGCACGAAAGCCACGGGTTAGTTCACAGGCCACGTCAGTTTTTAGGCCAGGAGTGGCAATAGCACCACAGTGGCACAGTCCACATGCCATATATACATGATGCATACCCAGGCCTGGATCAGGTTATCAAGTCCAACAATGTTCATCTGAATAGATTTCCAGTGTCACTGAGCCCAACTCTTTTAAGAAGAGAGATTCTCCTCATCATCACTGATTTCATTCATCAACTCGGTAATGTCTTCTTTCATTTTTCCAGTGACTTGGCAAGCGGAATCCTGGTCAGACAAAGCTTGTGCAAGACTGCTTTTGTTTGCCTCAAGTTCAGCTTGGACTACCTTCAGACTCTCTTCAGCAGTCTCTCTCAGCAGATATGGCTTCCAATATAGCTTTTGTGGCTCTCAGAACCTTCTCAAGTTTTTCGCCATCTTCGATTTTCTGCTGACTAAAGTCCTTTTTATTTGAACAGCTCTCCTCTCCCGGATAAGCCTTCGGTGCTGAAAAAGAAGTACCCAGCAGATAAGGACTATTATGGTAAGAATCACAGAACTAGTGATTGAATTAGGAAAACTCACACTTAATCTCTTTTTGATTGGCAAGTTCAGCATCCTTGGCTTGAATGGAGTCAGCACTCACAACCTGCTGTGTCAAGCTTAACAATTGAGAAATTAATGCTTTGATCTGGATTTTTGGATCTGAACCAGCAGCCACAACAGAAGAAGCCTCGATCTTGTTACCTTCTGACAACAGGGCTGTGACATAATAAGACTGGTCACGATCAAATACATTTTTTTTTTTTTGCGAACGTGCAACATGACACGTATTTCATTAAGAGGGTAAAAATAGACCAACTACACTATCAGATTGGTTAGAACTTAGAAGACATATGAGACTCATATAAACTCACAAGATTAAACATTACTAATCATAGCTGAGAAGAAAAGAACCTGCAATAGCTATATAAATTTCAGCATCATTTTTTTAGGTTTGATGGAACTGGATCAATTGCAAATATGTAATACATGGCATAAATAGAACCGATGCTTTACTCTATTTTAGTGAATTTTGAGCAGCTTCACATGACCAGGCGTACAAAAAGGGGGCATGTAAAAGATTGTATACCTTCATCAGACGACTTAAGCTGAGGATATGGAAAGTCCATTATGCTATATAGCCCTAAGAATTGCAGCAAGTCCTTTCTCTTAGCATCAGTCTGAATTTCCAGAATCTCCATAATCTAGATTGATAGCAAGAGAAGTTACTGCAAATTAAACATTTCTACTTTACCTCAATTTATTTGACATTCACAAACTTCTAATGATCCATGATCTCATTTTGATTGAACTGGATTTCCATATGAAGATAGGAAGCTGTAAGGGCAGGCTACATCTGTAGTACAAGTGTAATAAATATAAGAGGTGTATTGTTGTGATTATCTTCTTCTTAAAGCTTACATTCTTATGGAGATCATCATCATTCTTGGCTTGCATCTCCTCATTCCCCTTGGTCAGGCCGGCGTTCCTTGCCTGCAGCTCCTTGTTCTGCTTAGTTAGGTTTTCATTCTCGGCCTGCAGCTCCTTGTTCTGCTTCGTTAGGTCGTCATTCTTGGCCTGCAGCTTCTCATTCCGCTTTGGCAGGCCATCATTAATGGCTTCCAGCTCCTCAGTCCGCTTCTTCAGTAAGTCATTCTTAGCTTCCAGCTCCTCAATCCGCTTCATCAGGCAATGCACCTTTTTCACCTTCACAGCCAGCTCAGCTCTCAGCTTCTCATTCTCCTCGCAGTATCCAAGCTGTCGTAAATCCTCATCTAGTTCAGACTTCAAGTCTTTGATCTCCTTTATAATCCTCTGAGAATCTTCACACCTCACCTCCAAACATTCTGCCCCATAAGCAACAACTATTAAAGCCATGGAATGAAGAAGAGTGTCATATACTGAAGTGGGTTTTCAGACTTATCCCAACCAGACCTATCCAACCTTTGGACATAACTGGATCTTTGCTCTTCCCACTTCCAGATTCCACCCCAAGACTCTGACCTTCTTTCGCTGTATCAGCAAAGATCACATTTCCCTTCAGTACGTAAATTTAGGATAGATAGCCCACCACAGGTACAGCAAGGTGAGTGATATATCACAAAGTCTGTTCCTCAGAATATAACACAGCACTGTTGAACAAAAAGAAACATAGTAAAAGGAATGAGAGAATGAGATAACCGAACACAATCTGCAAGTTTTCTTTCAGTAAAGCTAAACAATAAGATGTGCATGCTACTCTATTCCTACAAGTTCCATCACTCAGATATTCAGATTATTACTACTGAAGGCCAAAAAAGTATGTTCCTTCAACCAAGGTTGCAATGTTTTTTTTTTTTTTTTTTTTTGGTGGGGGGACGATGGAAACCTGGTAGTCGAAATGCCATCAGATTAGGTATCCAACTACGCCGCTTAACCACAAAGAACATTAGAGACGAAGTAGATAAACTAAACTGCACGGTTGCACGGGAGTAGTACTATCAGATCAAGGGCTGAAGGTGCCCTCGCAAACAAAAATAAGTAAGAAAAAAGAAAATGTGATAAGTTACGGGGTGCCTTTACCACCACCATCTCTTCGCTCGACTCGGTGGCGCTTGGATGGTCCACCGGACTCTCCCACCTCGTCGCCTCCGCCGGCGGGGGCCATGGCTACTCCAGAGGAAGAAGGCGTAGATGAAGAGGGGTTTTGCTTTCTTGCCTTGCTTGCCACTGCCTGGTGGGGAACAGGGGTTTTGTGAGTTGTGACCTCCCAGTCCACAGCTCCTGCCCACAGCCCACCCATCACTGATTCACTGTACAGCCCTCATCAAAAGTTATTTACTTGTTACTAGGTGGTACCCCACGCTTCGCCGTGGGTATGGTGACTATAACAATTCTTGCATTGAAAATAATCATTATGTAATAAGCATATTACATTTGGAGCTTGAACACCTGAAGTCCAAAGCAAGGGTCTGGAATTAACAATGGCAAATCTTTTTGCATACCAGTAAGAAGAATTGACTGAGAGGATGTCACAGCACACCATGCAACATTGCCTGACGGCTCATTTAAGAGAATGGAAGGATTATGTTGATGGGTGCAACAGGGGGAGGCAGTATGGTTTGAAGGGCTCATTTCAGAATTCAAACTACAAAGTTAGTAAGGAAAAATTAGGAGCTTATGTAGGGGACGGTCCGTAGGGGCTGTCAAAGTGTATGGATACAACTAACATTGCCGTGAGGTGGCGGATGTAGTAGCCATATGTTTCTGGCATGGATCGGCATGAGCAACATCCGGGCGTGGTATTTCTGAGTAGGGCATAAATAGTAAGGCACAAACTGTGAATGTGATAGGAAAAAGAAGGAAAGGAAAATAAAATAAGGTATCATGGTTTGAATAAGAAACATGAACATGATGGGTTTCATAACATATCCATTAGGGCTAGCGCTTTACAATCAGGAATTATGAAACAGAGCAAGCAAAATACAAGTGGAGAGATGAAAGGAAAGAAATAGGTAAGCGATAATACCAGTAGGCTGAGCAGCTAGGCGACGGCGCGTAGAGCGTCTTATATGAAAAGTTGTTGGGAAGTCATCAGGAATGTCCAAATTGGTCCCACTAAATGCGCCATGAACTGTATGAGAAACAATAGACTCTGTAAAGAAGTGAAGGAAAGTAATTTTATATAAGTGAAGCAGAAGAACTACACTGCTAGGAGCACACATTCAGACATATAGCATGTATTAACCTGGAGCTGACAAAGGTGTGAAAGACCGGTTTCGTTTACGTTGCGCATTACATGGTAATGTCTCTGCACGAGGCAGCACCATGGCATCGTTGAACATTGGATCATGTATGTTTTGATGGGACAATATATGTAAACTAAAAGATGAAAAGATGAGGTGCTATACCAGTAGGCTGAGCAGGTAAACGACGACATGCAGAACGTTTTGATGGGACATGGAAGGTTGTAGGAAAGTCATCAGCTGTATCACCTGCCAATGTTGTATGAAGCGGCAAGGTAACAATATCAGTGCAAATCCTCAATAGTAAGAAAAATGACACAGACGAGATGGAAAGTACACATAGTTATACAGGAAACCACTAACCAGGAAGTAAAGAAGATATACAGGAAACTACTAACCAGGAAGTAAAGAAGCGGCGGAAACATGTCTGTGTCTGCAATGTGTATTAGGTGTTGGTGCGTCAATAGGGGTTGACATTGGCCTATCGCTGCAGGTTCGATACTGTAGGAAGCATTAGAGGCTGTATGAAACATCAGGCATCCAATGCTAACTCTTAGATTAGGTAAAAGTTGATTGCAGCCATAGAAACTATAGAATGGAGGCATAATAACAAAGGGGTAACTGAATACGAAGCAGAGAGCAGTGGGAAGCAAGAACAACGAAAAAAATGGTGTAAATAGGCGCACTTCACCACGCCCATAGGGGATGGGCATGGCAATGTACAGATAAGTTTGGTTGATGGGAGCAGGAGCAGTAATCAGCACCAGAATATATCGACCACAAGTACTATTTCAGGTCGACATCGACCACATATATCGTAGCCATAGAACTATATTAGAGGTAACATTATACTTGTCTCATATGTTTTTAGAAGAAAAATACTATAAGTACATCAATACAAATTCAGAGCAGAAACTGTCAACATTCTTGAAACTACCTCCTAACAAAAAAACAGATGATTTGTATGAGTTATAATGAGTCCTACTAAATGGGTAACTAGGGTGTACTTAGTGCTTCTTTTTTTACCTATAAACAACACAAACAATATATGCACAAGCAGTCTAACAAACCTCGAACACCCAAAGGGTTACCAAATTCGTACCTATGTGTATGTTCAAAAAAGGAAAGGGGGATATAACTATGCAGTCAGAAATCAGCAAGGGTAACCTGCTGCTGATTGGGATAGCAGGTCTGTGAAGATCACAAAGTAGCACTTGCTAGTATAGAGAATGGGTAACCTGCTTTCCTGCTAAGGTCTGAAATTAATAGGTAATGGAACTCCAGGAATTATAAAAGGTGTTAGATATAATTAAGCCCTTTCGGCAAAGAGAAGTCTAGGATTAACAGAAAAATTGATAGAAGTGATATTTTTTTATTCAGAAAGCATTAGTGATATAGGATTCTGCATATCACAGTCGTGGAGAAAGCAGCATAGCACCTCAACTGTATTCTCTTCTTTGGAGTAACTCCCACAAATGCGAGAAATTGCAAAGGCAAAGGAGTATATGACTATAGTTCCATGAGACTAAACCAAAGGAGGAGCTGAAGATAACAGAACAGATGCATTTAGTAACGGTAATTTTTGGATGATGGAAAACAAAGCAACTGTTAACGATAATATCTTGTGGACTATGGAAAATCTGATTGCGCGCATAGAGGTAGGAAAATAGTGCTGAAGACTTCCGTTCAAAAAAAAAATAGAGCATGGAGACTAAACAATTTTCGCTGCAACAAAATATGGAGCATGGACAGAACAAAGAAATCGTCTAAAAGCTAATACGGAACTGCCACAGTTTCGCACATCATAGAAAGGGGCATGTGAATAGGAAACCTGGAGCGTGGAGAGAACAAAAAAAATCGTGCAAAAGCAAATTCGAAATTGTTACAGGTTCGTATACTGTAATGTGTATAGAGCTTTATAAAATTGAAATCATAAAGAGAGGACGACTTACATAGGGTAGGCTGAAATCAAGGCAGCAATCCCACGCAAGATGAAGAACGTTGTATACGAAACACGATTTAGCTGAAGGGAGACATGTACTGCTGGCTGGAGGAGCAGGAACCGCACGGACTGAGGGCCAGGCCAGGACGACGAAATATTGCTGGCTGGAGGAGCAGGAGCTGCACGGGCGCAGGGGCATGCCAGTACGGAGGAGCGGCACTGGCAGAGATGGCGAGGAGTGCGTGCAGGGAATAGGGAGGCGGCGATGGAGGCAAGACCCTGCAAGGAATTATGAGCAGAACAAAACTAAACCATACAAGTTATGTGTGCAAATTGAACATACAAGTTGAATATACAAGTTATGAGCAGAAAATTAAACATGCAAGTCGAACATACTAACTTGCAATCGAAACTTAACCATACAAATTGAATATATAAATAGACCAAAACATCACTCTCTAAGGATTCAGTTCTGGTGCTCTCGCCGCTGTCACTCCCATCCTCATCAGTGGTATTATCATCACTAGTACCATAAGAACGAGATTCCTAAATAAAAGAACATAGTTAGCACACTAACTAATAAAACACGAAACATTTGGTTATCTGACTGCTACTTCAACTAAACAAAACTGAGAAAGAAATTAACAAACACACTTCTTACATCATTATTAGAAGACTGCAACTCATCAGAAGAACTTTCTCCCTCATGAGCCATCTGTAACCAAATGTATTTCGTAAAAAAAAAATCAGAATCACTTAATAAAAGAGATCATAACTAATAGGATGAATCAGCTGACAGTATAATTCTTTCTTGTAATTTCATAACTAATTAATCCAACCTAACATAATATACAATCCAAAAGAATCAACAAATGCACAGATTGTTCAGAAGATCACCGGTGGTAGCCTGTCAGTGGCCAATCCCTGGAACTCTGCTGCTGTCTGTCAATGCACTCAGAAATCATCTATCTAATCTGGTGTCAGGATTGCCCCAAATCACGCTCTTTCTCCTCACAGGGGATTGCCATTGTAGAGTAATAATCCCCAATTCATAGCAACAAGCTGATGCCAATGCAGATTAGTCTTCCCTAGTCGCCAGCGAGGAAGGGATCTAAATGTAGTAAAATGCCAGTAACAGATGCTCTAAACAGCACGGCCAGCCGAGGCCACCACGGTGCCTCTCTCTAACACAGCACGGCCAGCATGGGGACAAAGGAGGAGCAGCGAGAGGAGGGCAGTGGCGGTCACCAGCGCCCGGACGTCGCGCAGCACCGACGCGGGAGCCAGGGTCGGAGCCGAGGCCGGTGAACCCGCGGCGGCCGCGCAGGGCAGGGAAGGACTAACGACACCATCGGGATTCAGAAAAGAGAAGACCTAGAAAACTACTCGACACGACCTCGAATCGAAACCCCAACAATGCAAATCACGGCAAAACGAGAGAGAAAGAGATCTCAGCAATGCCTTGCAACGAATACCGGAGAACACCCACCGGCGACCCCTCGAATCGAATCCCGGCAAGGTCGCCCCGAAGAGGAGAGCAACGGGGAAGATGGGGAAAGAAGCTGAAGCGCGCTGTTCAAATAGCCCGCTTCGGGATCATCGCGTTGGGGAGGGTGGGGGGATATTTCAATCGAGAGAGACGGAAAAGGAAAGGACGCTGGGACGGAAAAGGAAAAAAAATGGTCTCAGACGGACGCGCTGTTTCGTCCACCCGATTCCAATCGAGCGCACGCCCGCCGAAATGGAATTGGGGCCAGATTCGCAATTAAAAAACATTTTCTAATCCTTGGATACGGAACCAGCAAAGGTGCCAAAATGCTGGCAGCATGGCATGGCATAGCAGAGTGCAAAGCGATCAATCAAGTAAAAAAAAGACAAGATCGGTTGCAGCGAGACATGAAAAAAAAAATGTGCCATGACAGGATGTGCAAATGACCAGCAGCGTACATGTACCGCGTGTTGGGGTAACTGCTGGTGTGGCCGGTGCGAGTTCACCAAAACGGCACGCGGCGACAGCGTTAAAAGAAACTCAAGTGCTACATGCACATATAAAGCGCGACGACGTCACGCCCATTCATGAAGAAGACCATCGTGAGCCGCCTTCGGTGATCAAGCACTAGCCTGAAGGCGCTTGCGCGCTTGGGTGGCCGGCATTGCAATGGCAGAATGGCTGGTTTAACGCGCATGCAGCGCCTGGCGATGGGTTGGCCGACAGCTGTCGCATGAAGCGGCGTAATCTCATATTCAGCAACACAAAAAATCGCTGATATATGCAGGTAAAAAACCACCATGTCTAGATCATCTAGAGACATCCATCTACGTTCTAGATACTAGCAAACGATCTAAACTTCTAGTTCAAAACGTGACACTATACTAGTGTTGCATAAAAGAACACATGTGAACAAATCGGTTGCTAGAACATGCAAGAGTAATCTACTACTAGGAAAAAAATACATACAGTTTGATCTTGCTAGTCAACGGTAAAAACATATATCCATGAGTTCTACTGATTCATCTGAATCCAAATACCGAATGGTGGGATCCAGAGGATATCACAAGCGACGTACCTTGATTCGACAAGTAGAGCACTGGCTGATAACGTGTTAGAAATACCTTTAACGAGTATAGAGTACCTTGATTCGACGTACCTTTAGACTCTCTTCAGTAGTCTCTTTCTCAGCAGATATGACTTTCAATATAGCTTTTGTGGCCCTCAGAGGCTTCTCAAGTTTTTCCCCATCTTTGATTTTCTGCTGACAAAGGTCCTTTTTCTTTGAATAGCTCTCCTCTCCCAGATAAGCCTTCAGTGCTGAAAAAAACAGTACCCAACAGATAAGGACTATTATGGTAAGAATCACAGAACTAGTGACTGAATAAGAAAAACTTACATTTAATCTCTTCTTTTTGAGTGGCAAGTTCAGCATCATTGGCTTGAATGGAGTCAGCGCTCACAACCTGCTGTGTCAAGCTTAACAATTGAGAAACTAAGGCTTTGATCTGGATTTTTGCATCTGAAGTTTGTGCCTCTAATATGCTCGATGAAGCAGATAGACCAGCAGCCACATCTGTAGTGCAACTGTAATGAATGTAACAGGTCTATTGTTGTGATTATCTTCTTCTTAAAGCTTACATTCTTATGGAGGTCGTCATTCTTGGCCTGCAACTCCTCATTCCCCTTTGTCAGGCTGTCATTCCTGGCCTGCAGCTCCTTGTTCTGCTTCGTTAGGTCGTCATTCTTGGCCTGCAGCTCCTCGTTCCGCTTTGGCAGGACGTCATTAATGGCTTCCAGCTCCTCAGTCCGCTTCCTCAGGAAGTCAATCTTAGCTTCCAGCTCCTCAATCCGCTTCATCAGGCAATGCCTCTCTTTCACCTTCACAGCCAGCTCAGCTCTCAGCTTCTCATTCTCCTCGCAGTATCCAAGCTGTCGCAAATCCTCATCTACTTCAGACTTCAAGTCTTCAATCTCCCTTATAATCCTCTGAGAATCCTCGCACCTCACCTCCAAATATTCTGCCCATAAGCAACAACCATTAAAGTCATGGAATGAAGAAGAGTGTGATATACTGAAGTGAGTTTTCAGACTTATTCCAACCTTTGGACATAACTGGATCTGTGCTCTTTCCGCTTCCAGATTCCACCCCAAGACTCTGACCTTCTTTCGCTGCATAAGCAAATATCGCATTTCCATTCAGTAACCAAGGGTACAGCAAGGTGAGTGATATATCACAAGTCTGTTCCTCATAATATAACACATCACCGTTGAACAAAAACAAACATAGTAAAAGGAATGAGAGAATGAGATAACCCAACACAATCTGCAATTTTCTGTCAGTAAAATTAAACAATAAGATGTGTATGCTACTCTATTCCTACAAGCTCCACCACTCAGATATTCAGATTGTTACTCCTGAAGGCCAAAAAAGTATGCTACTTCAACCAAGGTCGCAGATTGAGGGGAAATGAAAGGGAAGGAATTTGTAACCCGGTAGTCGAAATGCCATCAGACTAGGTATCCAACTACGCCGCTTAACCACAAAGAACATTAGAGACGAAGTAGATAAACTAAACTGCACGGGAGTAGTGCTACCAGATCAAGGGCTGAAGGTGCCCTCGCAAACAAAAGTAAATAAGAAAAAGAAAATGTGATAGATCACGGGGAGCCTTTACCACCACCAGCAGCACTTCGCTCGACTCGGTGGCGCTTGGATGGGGGTCCGCCGGACTCTCGCACCTCGTCGCCTCCGCCGGCGGGGGCCATGGCTACTCTCCGGAGGAAGAAGGTGTAGATGAAGAGGGGTTTTGCTTTCTTGCCTTGCTGGCCACTGCCCAGTGGGGAACGGGGGGGTTTTGTGAATTGACCTCCCAGTCCACGGCTCCTCCAGCCCACAGGCCACAGCCCACCCATCGCTGATGGTACAGCCCTCATCAAAAGTTATTTACTTGATTACAAGAATTAGAATTTGAAAATGGTGTTTAGTAGAACATTTATTTTACCCTTGTCTAAAGTTTAATTTGGTTCCCAATTTTTTAAAATTACCGCTTTAGTCGTCAAAGTTTACTTTTGAGCTCTGATTAAGTGATAACTATCACCTTTGGGCTCCCATAACTATCAAAGTGACTGATTCAATCCTAAAACTTTCTTTTCGGAATCAATTTCATGTATGAATTATCGAAGTGACTGCTAGACATAACACTTTTCTTTTTAGCTCGTACTCATCAGCTCTGAAGATAGAAAACCTCTAATGATTATAAGGTGACATGATTCGCTGATTGTAAAGCGGCACGATTCAATGATTACACATGAACGGTCAGATGATTACACACACGAGAAAGCCAAGCAGGGGCAGGCACTAACTATTTACACCTGAACAATAATAGCAGCTCCAAAGATTACTCAGTGCTCAGTTCAACGATCGCACAGGTTTTAGGACGCCTGCGGCAACAGCACCACATGCACAAGCATATGAACATGATGCATAACTAAATCTTGATTACGAGCACTTATTATGCCAGACTACCACTAACTAGGGGATTGAGCAGCACCCGACTGACAGAACAGCATAAAGGCGCTACTTATTAGCTTCACGGCCTCAGGGCGGCTCCTCAGCCCCTCCTGCGCTTGGTCGTCGTGTCAATCTGACTGAACAGGTACTTGAGCACCTCCTTCATCGTCGCCTTCCGGCCTTTCCTGAAGTTCCAGAGCTCGGGGACAACATACCTCCCGCTTGGGTTATACTCATTTATCTCCATCAGTGCGGTCTTCACCGCATTGCACACATCATCGCCGAACTCGATCCACAGGAACTTCAGTTTTGTATCATCGTCATCCAGAACTTCCTGCAACGAATGAGGATGAATATGATTTCCAAACAAATACTAATAGGTTCTATAAACATTAAAGATAACACATGGCTGGACAGAACTGAGCAAGTACCTTATTTTCTCCGTTAACCTCAACCATCTTAAAAGGATGCCAGGATGGCTTCTTTAGTTCATCCTGCCAATTTGAGACTAGCTCTGCTGCTTTGACCTGGTATTCATTGTTTCCATATTTTCTCTTACATGCATTTAGGAAAGGCTTTTCATCGAGTTCCCCCATTCTTTTGATCCCAATAGCTGTCCGCCCATTTAGCTCTTCCTCCAAACCCTGATCATTGTGAAAATCATTTCATCATTTAAAATCATTTTATGGACATCAACTTGGTAGAGGGATTGTTAGGTGCATGGTAGAGAAAATAGGCAGTACCTTTATCAGTTCTTTTCGGGCTTCTTGTAGCTCATCATTACTTTCACGCTCTTTTCTCACGAGATCCCCACTCAAATCCTCCAGGCGCTTCTTTTCATGCTCAAATCTTACACTCAGCTTCTCCATCTTCTCATGGATATCTCCCCCATCATCATCTCCCTCTAAATGTTTCATCACTTGGAGTGTACCATTCAACCGTTCTACTTCGAGCTCAAGCTGCTGCTTCTCATGCAGCTCCTTTTCTAGCTGAAGCATTCTAGCAAGTACATCTTCCTTTTCCCTCTGATGGTATTAAGGTGTATCAATCCTCATCTCCAGATTATACAGAAACATGTACAGAACAACATTAAGAAAAGTGCAAAGTGCAAACCTCCTGGTCGGCCAATAGCTTCAGAACATCTGCATCAGCCCTCTGCTGCTCTATGCTAGCTAGCTCAAGTTCACTATTATCATATTTTGCCTGTACATTTCAGAAGAGAAACACAAAAAAATTTATAAGATACTGCAGCATGAACTTATGCTATCATAATGATATGTTCAGGCTGTTATTTTTTTCAGTTTATATGCACACAATTAGGTTGTAGAAAGAAACCTGGTGTCCTTGGGGAAATGCCATAGAATTAAGACGATAAAATACTTGACAGCAATGTGTCCCTTGTCAAAGTTAAAGTATTGATGATATATCATTTTAAAAACAACCTTTGTAAAAAAAAATAGCAAATAACTATGAAGTCGCTGTTTTCATGCTAAAGTCAGACAGACAAATAAAAGATTGTTTGACACCCCCATAAATCTAGATTAGAGCACCATATACATAGTACTTCAGAAGAGGTTACATGTGCATAGCTTAGTGCTTCACTTGTATAGTTGTTTAGCTTACCTTCTGCTTCTCATCATCGAGTGTCTTCCTGTCATTAGCATTCTCAGCTGACATTTTTTCAAGATCCTTAGCTCGTAAGTTCAGTTCTCTCCTCTTATTTTCTAAGTCAATCCTCAAGTTTTCATTCTCTTGGAAAATCCGAAGAGCATTTTCTCGAGCCCTGCGATGAAGATTGCGCATTTCTGAAAAAGAGGATATAAAACTTGATAAATGACTTCTAACAGAGAAAATTTGCTTTGTTGATTTTGTAAAGCCAAGAAATTAGAGCACTCAAAAGTGAAGATTGGGGGGTTGGGTTGTTCGTACATGTAACCAAAAGTTCATCTTTATCAGGTAAGCCTTTAGTCTTGTCTTACTGATAAATATAATATAATGCTAAAGCATATAAGGCATGGAGTAACTTCATGCATCATAATATTATCTCAATAAGTCCTGCATTCGTCTAACCAACCCATGAAGTCTTTTCTCCAAATAAATAATCCATGAACAATATAAAGAGGGAACAAAAACCAAAACAAATAGTTTCAGGACTTCCATGAAAAAATATATAAAACGTAAAGTACAAGACAGAGTTAACACGTGGATATGCTCTAGACATGTCAAGCATGCAGGAAAAACTCTAAACCATCAAGTAGAACCAAAGGAAAGGGAGAAAAATTGCACAGATTACCTTCATTGTATGCCTCATGCAGTTTCCTGTTGTCCTCCTCAAGCCTTGAGATTGAGAGTTCTGTTGCATTCTTCTTTGTCTCCAAATCCTGCAAGTATCGGTTCTTTTCCTCGATCTGGGATGCCAGTATTGCCACCATCTCCCCTGATTTCTCTAATTCAGTCTTGGAAACCTCATCTATTGTTTTCAGGACGGTGTGCTTTCTCAAGAATCTTCCTACCACACTCGTTGCATCATAGTCCTCAGCTCGGGCAACCCACCCATAAACCTTGACCTCACCTTCGCTGCCATCTCCCTCCGAGGAGCCTAGACCACAATCTCTCGTCTCAAATTCCTTCTTCCCTAGCTTATTGATGCCGAAATGGTTCTCAAGCGTAAGCGCGTCATTGAATCCACTCCAATCATTGGTAAACTCTCACGATTGCAAAGGTTTCTGTGACTTCCATCTCATCGACAAACAAAGGCACAACCTCAACCAAACTAAACATGGCTACTCTATCAGCAAACTCCTCAGGATTGAACCCTGCCCCGGCTGCAAGAACACAAGCCCACGGCCAAGCAAACCTCTCAACCTCCTGCGGCGGACCCACTTTCACCGCCACGGAACTGGATCCAGCAGTATCTCCATTAACCTTGGCCTTCCCATCGCCATTGGCGCTGCCATTCTGATCAGCAGGGGTGGTTGTAATGGCACCTTGAATGCCAGTGATACCGACGAGGTCTTCCGCGAAGTCCGGATCGGTGCGGACAAAGCGCGCGAAGGCGCGGTGGTTGGCGCGCTCGCGGCCGTGGCGGCGGTGCTTGCTGGAGACGCCGATGCCGTCGGCGTGCTGGAGGAGGTCCTTGATCTTGTACCCCTGCTTCTTCTTGCCGGGGCAGAAGGGGCAGCGGAAGGTGCCGTCCGGGTTGCGCACCCGGTGCTTGCCGGACTTGAGGAGGCCGAACGACTTCTCCTCGTAGTCGCTCTCCATATCCGAGTCGTCCTCGTTGGGGTCGTCGGAGTCGTCCTCGGCCGCGGCAGCGTCCGCCTCGGCCTCCTCGTAGGGGTCTATGTAGTCGTCCATGTCAAGATCCATCGCCGGAGCTCGGGGATTCAGCAGATAAGATTCCTGAATACAAGAACAGCCGTTCTTTGTTGAATCTTTCGAAGGAAAGAGGGGATTTTCTCCCAAATGTGCGTCGATCCAGGCATCCAAAAAGTGTAATGGGAGGACCGGAGAACTCACCTTTTCCCCCGAACTGGAGCACAGTCGCTGCGAATGGCAGCGAAACCTGATGCACTTGGCCGGAGAAAGCCCTGGCCAATATCAAGCCGGCGGCGATTTCGCGTTCTCTCGCACAGGATTGAACGCAACGACGCCGCCCTAGCTGGGTCTATGGTGGCATGGCGGAGTCGGATGCGGCGAGAAAGGCAAAACCTCCACTCGGAAACGATTAAGTGAAGGGCACTTACACCTGCATTCAATCCCAATCCCAATTATTATCAGTTTAGCACAGCGCTGGGGTTTTGGGTGGGGGACTGGGGAGCGCACGGGAGAGAAGAAAAAGCCACTGCTACTTCGACCGCTTTGGGAGCCGTCCCTAGGACCGGGATTCGAGGGCTCTTTCTTAACTTTTTCTTTCTGCCATTTTCAAGATGATTTTTGTCGTTTGCCTGTGTCGATTTTATTTATTTTTTCCCAATTTTTTTGAGAAAGGCCGAACTTTTAAAATTGGAAGGGTTACATCATTTGATACTAATCATCGTTTAATACTAATCTTACAGCAAAATCAGAAATATGTCATAGTAACATTGTTAACGACAAAACATTCCAAGCATGCTTTGCTTCTGTTCTCTCTTTATAAAAGCAAACTCAACCTTTTGAAGAGGGTCTAATTTAGAGGAAATACCCAAATTTCTATGAAAATGGTCTAATTTATCTATAAATTTAATGATTCTATATTTTTCCCGTTTTAGGCCAGTCTCAACGGTGAGTTTCATAGCGTTGTTACCAAAACTACCACATCAGCTTTTTGTGTTGGTAAATGTGACAACGGGTTTCATCTAGATGATAGTATATGAAACTCTCTCTACATCTCTCTCTTTATAATTAACATGTCTACTCAGTAAATTTGCTGATGTGCCACGGTATAAATAAGAGTGAAACTCTTTTGAAAACCTCCATTGAAATTGACCTATATCATTAGTTGAAAAGGTTTTCTTATTATAGTTAGAATTCTGGAGAAATTATAGCAGAGATACAACAAAAGATTCATATGAGCTTCTAATCGAAGCTATGGTTAAAATGGAACTAAGTACTCGAGAATGGAATTCAATCTTCATGTAAAGAGTTAGCACTATAAAGGTAATAGTCAAATAAGTCTGCTACAAAATCATATATCATTTCTTTATTAGTAAATTCAGTTTAATATAAAACAACACATATTTATTATACAAGCAAGCATTGAGATTCTACGCGGAAATGGTTGTATATAGTTAATGAATTAATGACAGAATAAAAAGCTTTCTCGTTTTAAATGGGTCATATTATGGTCATTTAATTTATTGATAGAAGAGCAAAATGCCGACATTTCAATAAAATTTATAGCATGATACAACAAATAAATTCTTATCGCCTTTCAAATTAACATTATGTAGATTTCTCTCTATTTTCTACCACGGGGTGAAATTTTGGGAGATATGCCCTTCCATCACCCCCTCTTCACCCTTCGTCGTCCTTTCGCTCGATCCTTTAAATATTCGTCAAAGCGGCACATTTTGCTAAAAGTAGGTGGTGCACCTCGCTCTCGAGTCCTGAGGGCTCTTGAGGGACGAAGGAACGAAGTAACAAGAGCACCGAGCGTCGGGCCCGATAGGCGATGCCATGAGCCTGGACAACGCACTTCGCTCATTCGTACGAATAAGTCCCTTTTCGCCATCTTTTATGAGTGTTCTCATATATATAGGTGATCATCAGGTTTCGTCACGACAACGGTTGGAGTCACGAAAGGAGAAAGAACACTCGAGACGAAATGAGGGAGCCGGGTCGAGGTTTGAAGGCGCCCATTACGAAGGATGAAGGTGGCCCAATCTAGGTGGTCCCCTGCTCGTGTCAGGGGCGACGAGGTCTAGCTGAGGGCGGTGGTGACTAGGGGCGGCACGGAGCGCCAGACCAAGCTGCCCTAGGTCTGCTAGGATATGCTCTGAATCTAGAGTGGGTGTGAGGGCATTTTGGTCCTGTGTAAAGCCTACAGGCGTGTATATATAGGCCCCCGGAGTTCATGGAAAGAGAGAATGAAGAATGAAAACTTTACTTGCTGACTCACTTCGTCGTTCCCCTTTCGCCATATTTTCGTTCACACCTCGCTTCCTATTGGTATTTATTATCTTGTCACTTGTTTAAGTAGTCACCTGATGTAATTGACATTTCTTAGCATTACTTTTACTAAGTTGTCATCCCTAGCGATGGTGCCAGAAATGTTTATTGGTACTACCTAGTGCCACCTCTAGAATGACACTAAGACTGTCGATGTTTCGAGTTACCACCGATGAGTAAATTTCTAGTATTGCGCGTCTGGTTCGGATGGTGTGCTTAGAGGACACGAGGTTTATACTGGTTCGAGCATAAAGTCCCTATGTCTAGTTCGTCGCTGGTGCTCATGTTACTAGCACTGAAAGTTTGTAGTAGGGATTACAAACAGGCGAGAGAGAGATAGGTCCCAAGTCTCTAGTGAAAGGGTGTTGAGAGCTTGATTGCTGCTCTTGTGTGTATCTGGATCAGATTGGTTCGGGGTCGGATCGAATCCTCTTCATAGGATGCCCTGCTTTTCCTTTTATAGACCAAGGGAAAGCACGGGTTACAACGGAGAAAAAAAGAAGAAACGAGAGAGAGGAGTCCTTCAGGATCGCCGGATCCTTCTTATCCTTCATGCGGGTCCCGCCGACCCTATAGATGTCAACAGGGATAGCTCCATATCGTGGCCCTGTCCGTCACTAGCGCCATACGCAGGCATCGTCTATCGGTCATGGCGTTCCATTCCATCGCAGCAGACGTCGTGGTGAGCTAACGCGCCTGTCAGCATTCATACGGGGGTTAGGTAGAACAGCACCGGTACACCCGACGCTATTCCTGATGTGAATCCTTAGGTATGGCCCGTCGTGGCCACGGGTTACATCGAGGCATGTTGTTCTCTTCCTTGGTGTAAGAGTTTTGACCCAGGCCCATATGCTTGGACCTGGAGTGGTTGGCGGCGGTATGGGTCTTCGTCGAGCGAGATGAAGCCCGCGACCTCAAGGTCGGGCAAGGCAGAGCATGAACCCAAGGTTGGGCGAGGCAGAGCCCGTGGCCTTAGGGTTGGGCGAGGCAGAGCCCGCCCCCAGAGGTCGAGCGAGGCAGAGCGCAAACCCAAGGGTCTCGGGCGAGGCGGAGCTCGTGGCCTTAGGGTCGGGCGAGGCGGAGCCCGTGGCCTTAGGGTCGGGTGAGGCGGAGCACGGACCCAAGAGTCGGGCGAGGCAGAGCCTGCGGCCTTGGGGTTAGGTGAGGCGGAGCCCGCCCCCAAAGGTCGGGCGAGGCGGAGCTTGCGCCTTAGGGGTCGGTTGGAGATATAGTCGCGCTCTTAACTGCTTAGAGGAATTAATGTTGATGGTCATTAGCTCCTCCCCTTTGGGTACCCTAGTATTGGTCCCCGACAGTGGCCCCTGAGCCTGCAGAGGAGTAGAATACTCCACCGGAGGCTTTTCCGAATGGGAGGACTCTGAGGGCCTTGGCCTTGTTTTGTTGCCCACGGTGTGACCTAGGGACGGTGATTCCCTTTCGTCATGATCGGACCCCTCGGGTTTATAGCCGTGAGACTTGGTATGTTGGAAAAGGTCTTTTCTAGATTTTGACCACTATGGGGGTTTGTCGTTCTACGACCGTGCGTTCGGTCTCCGTGCGAGTCCAACTTTCCTCGAGCCCTCGCCCGTAGCTGGGGTCCGGTCGAGGGTCGGCTCATCTTTGTGATCGTCTTCCCTCAAGCGTTTTTTTTAATAAAAATAGAGGGGCTGAGCCATGCCATGATTTTCCTCTATGGACGAATCATGGTGCTCGGTGAGCTGTTAATGGCTAGTCCGAGTGGGGCCCCGACATCCCGTTCATGGGGATCCAGCTTGGGTCAGATGGTGACCGACTCTAGATTCTCAGCGGTCAATCCATATAGTTCTTAGGCCCGTTCGACCAGTCCCGAGGGCTCTCTGCCTTTCTTCGAGGAAAAACCATGGATTGTATCCAACCGAGACTCGAACGTGGGTCGAGATACCTACGGCGCTTGTGCGCCTAGGTACTGGCCGCTAGTGGGCCTATCCCTTTCCACCCCTCACTCTAAAGGTGCCCAGAGCGATTGTCAAACCCATCGGTGGCCCAACCTTCGAACTCCTAGGCCTAGACAGGCCGTAGGAGTGTTTTTAGCTCCATATCCCTCTTACCTGTGATGGGTCGTGGCCCGTTCGGAGAGGCAAAATGTCGGTGAGTTTTCTGAGGGGATGGTCATAGGCTGCATGTGCACGCCCCACGGCGAGACGTGGTGACAGGTCATGGCAGGCATGGAGATCTAGGCGGGCGGTTGGTTTCCTCGCACCCATCGCCCCTCGAGAACGAGGATGCGTTGATAGGCGTTAGTTCATCCTTGTAGGCATCGGGACCCTTCCCATTCCATGGAGGGGAGGGCATGTCTGGGGAGCCGGCGGAGGTGGGCTGTACCATCGGCGCCCCCCAGGAACTGGCGGAGGCAGGGCATACCGTCGGCCTACCCTAGGAGCCAATAGAGGTGGGCGGTTCTACCGTAGCGCCTGAGGTGCCAGTGGAGGTGGGTGGCTCTGCCGTCGCACCTCAAGAGCTAAGGGAGCGAACCCGTCTGCCCAGGAGCAGGGGCGGGCTCAAAATGGCCTCGTCCCAACGAGGCAGAGCGAGGGTCAGGGGGTTCGCCCCCTAAATGCATGAAAGCTCTAGTTTGGTTTTAGTAAATTGATGAAACCCTAACTGCTAACCTAGTTTATCAAAGTGATTATGAGATAGGTAGCACTATTCCATGTGGTGAAGCAAATGAAGATCATGACATG